CCTCATGTTATTTTCATTCATTCAATCATCCAAGAATTAATAAGAACTCAAGAACTTTTGTTCATCCTCTTTGCTTTAGTTTTTCACCAAAATTCTATAGCAATGATATCGTTTAGAGGGGTGCGGTTTGTGAACCTCTAGGCAACTATCGGCGATTCAAGGCACTGGTTTGTGTCTTATCGGCAGTCGAAACACACGATCCTCATCACGCGGGTAGGGCGCCCGCGTGCGTGGACCGAAGAGAGAGAGGAAGACTTGGAGTGCAAGCCAAGTTATCTAGTTTCCTTCTAGCATTATATTTTCTAGTTTGTTTAGGATTTCTAATATTTTATTGCTTAATTATTTCCCTAGGTAGATTAGGACTAGATATAATTTGGTGCCTATATAAAGGACCAACCCCCATGTTATTTATCATCATCCAAGAATTAAGAAGAACTCAAGAACTTTTGTTCATCCTCTTTGCTTTAGTTTTTCACCAAAATTCTATAGCAATTATATCGTTTAGAGGGGTGCGGTTTGTGAACCTCTAGGCAACTATCGGCGATTCAAGGCACTGGTTTGTGGCTTATCGGCAGTCGAAACACACGATCTTCATCATTGGTGCTTTCATTGAGAGGAGTTGATCGTGTGTTTTTCTTCTACCCCTTTCTCTTTCTTTTTCTTTTCAATTTTTCTTCGTTCCCCTATCAAAAAAAAAAAAAAAAATCTTCTTCAAACACGAGTCCTCGAAGCAAGGAACGCAAGCAAGAGATAAAAGCTATGGCCAACAAAGAGATGAAGGACAAGATCGATAATCTCGATGTCCAATTTCGCAGTATGAGTGAAGCTATCGAAACGTTGGGTGAAGGACTTGGCAATACCAAATCCACGGTGCAAGATTTAATGGAGACCATGAACCGGCGATTTGATGAGATGGCGCGCACGGTTCTCACTCGCCTGCCACCGCCGCGGCAACACGATCAGGCGCGACAGCACGAATGCGAGCAGCCTGAAGGAGAAAATCGGCGATGCGAGGAGCACGAGCGCGAGGACGACCTCGATCGGCAATACCAGGCGTCGACGTACCGCGAACGTCCGAAGGTCGACAAGCTGCGCATCACGCTGTCCACTTTCACAGGCAGCGATCCGGACGCATGGCTCCACAGGGCAGTACAATATTTTGAGCTTAATGAAACCGACGGTCCCGACCGCGTGAGATACGCAGCTTATTATCTTGATGGTGAGGCCAACGTATGGTGGCAATGGCTCACAAGGATCAATCGCAAGCGACAACAAATTATTACTTGGGATGTTTTTGAGAGAGAGTTGCT